TAAGGTTTATAGGAAACCAACACATACAGACAGGTATCTGCATTATAATTCATTTCATCATCCTAGTATTAAAAACTCTGTGTGCAAGACACTCATCAACCGAGCAAAAACAATTTGTGAGGTAAGTAACATTGACGATGAATTAGAACATTTAAGAAATGTTCTAAAAATGAATGGTTACCCACGGCATTTCATAGATAATGCTATGAAAACGCCACAAAGTATACAGCAGAAGATTGAATATCAGTCGTCTGTTTGTCTACCATACATTGGTCCGGCTTCACACAAAATCGAAAGAATTTTGACGAATGAAGCAGGTATAAAGGTATACCATTCCAGTGAAAACAAATTGTTTCGAGCTCTTTGCACACATAAGGACAACGTAAATGAATCTCAGAAACCTGGTGTGTACCGCATTCCTTGTGAATGTGGCCATGGTCTGGTTTACATTGGTGAAACTGGTCGAAATCTCTTAGTACGTCTTAAGGAACACAAGACGAATTGTGAGAAAGCCGAGCAAGATAAATCTGCTGTGGCTAAACATACTTGGACTTACGACCATCGTATAAAATGGGACGAAGCAACCATTTTGGCGATTGATAGTCATAAGTTCTCTCGCAAAATGAGAGAGTCAATTGAAATCGAGAAGCACAATACTACAGATCAGGAGGGAAAGCCACTAGATAGTACGTGGCGTGCTCTCTTTAATGTGCAAAATTAATTTCTCTTGTCTTGGATGCACGCGCGTTAGTTGGAATCACTTCACTACGTTTTGAAATGACGTGGTTGATGTGCCGTTTAATTAAATTTCAAATGACGCGAGCCAACAGATCACGACACTTTTGTATATAAAAAGAGCGTGTGAATTAAACAAGTCACATATTATTAGCACTGATGAAGATCCGGGCTTACGGATTGAAAGCTTTGCAGTAATAAATTTACGTGGTGTTTCCACAAATTTTTAGTAAAAAGTTATTTAGTAAAAAGTTTTAAAAAATAAACTTTGGAACTTCATGCTTGACACGCATGCGTGTTGCACCCATTTTATTATTGACCGGTCGTTTTGTGGACCGCCATGTGACACGGTTTTGACCAATCGGCAAACAGAAAAATTGAACTTGGACACTAACTATATAACAATAATATTTATTGCACCTGTAAACTTCATAATAAAACAAATTGGTTAATTAATATTATAATACCGTAGCCTAATTCAAAATATCGCTTCACCTAATTTTCTGCGGACCAAATTGTTTGTCGTCCAACGGGATACCTTCATACATGCCCCCCCCCTATACACAATTATGTGAATGGACCAGTCTCCTCATGCATGCCTAATTCCACTTATATTTCTTGTAGTTTTATTCCAAGCATTCATCACCGGTCGTTCCCATGAACGTAAGAACTCGTCTGTCGTTACGTGACATTGTGCACATGATCATTATTCTTCAAGTAAAATTTTGTTCATTTATTTCCAGCAACCTGGAGATCCTGTCCCAAAAAACACTCCACCACAAAAAACACTGGCTGTAACGACAACAATAGACGGTTTGACAACTCAAGCAACAAGTAAGTTCACACTAAGTAATTTTTTAAAATGTCAGTTTTAGAAATAATCGATAATAATCATTCAAACAGAAAATACTTCGGAAACTCTAACTACGAAAGATTTAAAAACTTTAGCCTGTACATAAGTGCACAATAATGCTCTAATAAAAAGTTATTCAGCTTTAATTTAGAAATTGATTTTGCACTTATACTGTATTATCAATTAATCCTTTTATAGTGAAATCCATACCGAAAGAAACTGAAGGTTCAATTATTCCGACAACTCAACCAAGAAGTATGTTCTAATGATTCAATGTAAAAATCTGTATTCAATCTATTAGTATTATGAGAGTATTAAATTTTATTTTTTGTGTAAGTCAAATTCATAATTGTAGCAAAAACTCCCAGGGGACTAAAACGAGGAAATACGCGGAATAATGCACAATAGTGCACATGCAATAGTGCACAATAATGCTCAAATAAAAAGTTATTCAGCTTTAATTTAGAAATTCATTTGTATTTATATGTATTATTAATTAATTTTTTTACAGCAAATTCCACACCGAAAGAAACTGAAGGTTCGATTTTTCCGACAACTCAACCAACAAGTATGTTCCAATAAATCAATGTAAAAATTCTGTATTCAGTGTGTTAGTATTTTGAGAGTATTAATTTTTTTGTATAAGTCAAATTCATAATTGTAGCAAAAAACTCCCAGGGGACTAAAGCGAGGAAATACGCGGTATGCTACAACTGAAAGATAACTTGATGTGTTTGTTCTGAAGAAATTCTCTAAAATGTTTTAGCGATTCTACCATCGTTATCAATTTATCCTGTACATAAGTGCACAATAATGCTCAAATAAAAAGTTATTCCGCTTTAATTTAGAAATTGATTTTGTACTTTTTGTATTATCAATTAAAACTTTTTGCAGCAAAATCCACACCGAAAGAAACTGAAGCTACAAATATTCCGACAATGCAACCAACAAGTATGTTCCAATAAATCAATCTAAAAATTCTGTATTCAGTGTGTTAGCATTTTGAGAGTATTAATTACTTTATATAAATCAAATTCATAATTGTAGCAAAAAACTCCCAGGGGCCTAAAACGAGGAAATTCGCGGTATGCTACAACTGAAAGATAACTTGATGTGTACTGTTTGTTCTGAAGAATTTCTTTAAAATGTTTTAGAGTTCTACTAGCTATCTTTATCAATTCATCCTGTACATAAGTGCACAATAATGCTCAAATAAAAATTAAGTTATTCAGCTTTAATTTAGAAATTGATTTTGTACTTATATTAATTATTAATTAATCTTTTTACAGCAAAATCCACACCGAAAGAAACTGAAGGTTCAATTATTGCGACAACTCAACCAAGAAGTATGTTCTAATGAATCAATGTAAAAATTCTGTATTCAATCTGTTAGTATTTTGAGAGTATCAAATTTTATTTTTTGTATAAGTCAACTTCGTAATTGTAGCAAACAACTCCCAGGGAACTTAAGCGAGGAAATACGCGGTATATTTGTTGTATCCTGTACTTAATTCATCCCATCCTCGTCGCCACTTTTGTATCTTGCTTGGAGTCATCAAGAAACATGTCCTCACAGCACAAGCAGAGCAAAAGGACTGGAGAGAATCACTACCAAACCTACTTCTCCACTATCGAACCACACCCCACCGAATCACTGGACAGACCCCAGCAAAACTACTCATGAAGAGGGAACTTCGAACCAAGATCCCAGCAATTTCCACGGTGGACCAACCAACAGATTGGCACGAGGAAGTGCGAAGAAAAGACGATAACGAGAAGTCCAAAGCGAAAGCATACACCGACAAGAACCGTCATGCAGCGGAACGAAAATTGATCGTAGGAGATAAAGTTCTGGTCAAACAGAAGAGAAAAAACAAGTATTCGACAAATTTTTGCAAAGATCCGATGACAATCACGAAGATCAACGGAACACAGATCGTGTTAACAGATCTCCATGGTAAACAGCACCGACGAAACTCTTCTCATGTCAAGAAATATTGGACCACATCAGAACCGAACAACGTAGAAGACGAGGATTTCGTTGCAGAATCCCAACCACCACAAAGCACCACTGAAGAAACCCCACCAGACAGCAACCCAAACATTCCCATCATCCAACCAGACCCAACCCCGCTCCGCAGATCCACACGAGAGAAAACCGTCCCAGATCGCCTTAGATATTGAATATTGGATACCTAAGCTAAGAGAATCTGACATTATTAAGCACATAGATAATTTAGTTAATTTAGCAAGAACAATGGTACGAAATTCAAATTACGAACAATCAGCAATAGGAATCAAATATATATAGTTCAACCTAGCAAGTTACTAAACAGGGGAGGAATGTTGTATCCTGTACTTAATTCATTCCAGGCTTAACCTTTCACACACACCCATATCATATATCCTAATTGCCTGTCAATGCTTGTATATATATTTACTTAATTCTATCAATAAATTAGTCTTTGATTACAACTAGTGCGAGTAGCATATATGCTAGAGGTCTCTATAACCCAAACAAGCAAGATACAAAAATATTACAACTAAAAGATAACTTGATGTGTTTGTTCAGAAGATTTTCTTTAAAATGTTTTAGCCGTTCTACCATCGTTAACATCCTGTAAAGAACTATTGGAGAGAGATGGGTATATAAATATATTACATTATCAGCAGTACTGTAAATTAAGGATGGGCACGATTCGGATATCAAATACCGATACTATCAATACAAGAAGAGGTATCGATACGTTTGATACTTGCAAAAAGTATTGACAATTCGATACCACTTGAACTTCCAATATGCCTGGTCAGCATTTATAAAAATCACAGAAATGCAAAGCGTTTTTTTTTGTACTGTATACAATATTTCACAAAACAATATAGCATAATAGAGCGTTTGCACATGACGTTCCAATTCAAAAGAATTTCAATTTAAACTTTTTTCTGGAAAACAAACATGGTCGCCACGGCTTCTGTTGAATTGGTCCCTGGGGAATCAGGCAAACGATCCACAGAACTGCATGAACTCACACTTTTGCCTTAGTTGGTGCTCATGAATGTATTCGTAAAAGGCAGAGTTATCAATATAAAGACAGACCGGTTCATAATCAATTTGATGTCGTCATGTCCACTTTATTGTTGTGACGTCATTATTAATAAAATTGAACTATCGATGTGGGTATCGACCTAAATGTGTGGTATCATGCTTGGTATCGTATCAAATTAAAATAGCTGAGCATATGGAGATATGCTTGCATGCAAGCTTGCTGTTTATTAGCCTAGACATGTTTTCGTTTGCTTTTTCTAAGTAAGTGCAAAATCTCATGGTCAAATATGTCTGATATCAAGTCTTGTTGCCGTATGAACAAATAAATATCAAATCGTGTTTATTGCATGTGTAGATGTTACTAAACAGAGCTTTAACACACGAGCACTAATCTCTCAAGCAGAGCAACACAACATGACGTTGAGATTAGACAATCTGAAAATTTTTAAAATAAAATAAAAGAACCAGCGCATTTTAAAGTGTCTATTTAATAAATAAATGGTATAAATCATGCATAGAGTTAACTTCATTATATAATAACCATTCAACTAGTACAATAAACTCGACACCATGCCATGTTCCGAAATAATTTTCCTAACATAAACATAACATTTTATTATGCAGATCTTTAATCAGTGGTAATTATACATTGCAAAATAATGTTACACTTGAACAATATGAAGTTTACTGTCACATGGATGAAATATCTAAATGTGGAACGGGAGCCTGGACACTAGTGATGAAAGTGGATGGCAACAAGGTAAATTTTTAATCCTACTGCAAAATGCAGAATTGAATTGAATTGAATAATTGACATTCCCTAAAATGGGCTTTTCAATGACAATTTACATGGAATTTAGAAGAAATTATGAGTTATCGACTATATATATTTACAACAAATCTTATCAAAGTTATTACGCGAACTAAAATTATACGATATATTATGGTTTATGAGTTAAAAAAGTTAAAAAGAAGAACATCGCTTCTCAATAAGAATTGTCTTAAGTTTCGTCTTAAAATTGTTAAAATCACTAATTGATTTCAGCTCTGTATGTAGACCATTAGTCCCTCGGCATTTGAACGATCTTTGACCGATCGATGTCCTATATTTTGGAATATCCAGGTCTCCATTTCTTCTAGTATCTCGGTTATGAATTCTGTTTCATTGTTCAAAATTATCGCATAAATACTGTGGAGCTTTGTCATTTATGCATTTAAATGTTAATAACGCATCTCTGTACAATAGATGTTCTTTGATTGACAACCATCCTAACGCGTTCAATGTCGGTGATATATGATCATACTTAGGCACCCCTGTAATTACTCGGGCTGCGCAATTTTGGATTAATTGGATCTTTTTGATGTTGCCATCTGACGTGATTAGACCATACTGATGAACAATAGATAATTTTACTCATGACTAATGTATCGATGTAAAAATTAAACCGTGATTTGTTTCATGCATCGCAATCAGTTCAAACGCCGGAGGAATTGGTTAAATCCAATTTCGTGTTCGAAGAATTAGAATTACTGACACTTTACAGTAATTCCTCCATGCGTTCAACAAGTTTTGTATAACCAAACTACATCAACTGCATGTTTTTGCCATCAATTATAAATTGTGTTTTTAATGCACTCATTTAAATTTATAGTCGTCTTTTATTGTGACACAATAACGAAACACATCGACACGACTGTATTTTGTAACCTAGAAATTGTGTTGCATGCATGTTGGAGAAAAAATGACCGCGACTAATATGAATGGTGACTGGTCTATGCCAGCGTAGGTTATGCCAACAATAACAAAACTTTGGTTGGTAGGGAAACTCCCAGAAAAATTCAAGGTCAAGGAAGAAATTCTACGTTTTGAGCGAAAGCCCTTCTTCGAGAACGCCTTACAAACTTCTCGAAGAACCAGCCTTCGCTCGAAACGTTGAATTTTTCCTTGTATTTCTAAGGTAGTTCCATCACTATCACCCGAAGTTTTGTCATGACTGAACATAGCTTGATACCTTGTCCACTTTTTTAAAGAATACATTCAGCTACAATTCGTCTTACTGGACCAACAAGAAAAACTACTCGTTGGACGACGGGCTTGAAGGACTGACAGACAAAGAAACAAAACTTTCTTCGTACTGGAACACACCGTTTAACAAAATATGCCTCGGAATGAAAGTCAACAACTATTCTACGAACTGGACAGTGATCGACCATCAAGCAAGCTCATTGTTTAAATTGATCAAAGATAACAACTTCACATCAACAAGCGTTGGAATTAAAGCATGGGAATCTCTTGTTGTTCATCATTCGTCTTGGGAGGAAAATCAAATGCGTGGTTATCAAGAAGGGTTTAATTTATATAATGAATACGTGTGTACACGTATTGGATTTTACCTCAGAATAAAATGCCCGGGGAGCAGCATTGGTCCGTTCTTAGGCTTGGGTATTTTATTTCACATTGGGGTAGACCAAGTGTCGAATATTACGTGCGGTTATCTTTTGTGCAATCGGCGAAGCAGTATTGCAGCATTCGGATATATACTTGTACAGTAGCATTACAATTTTCTCAACGGCGGACATTTTGAAAAAATTAGGGGGGGGGGGGCGAATTATGCTGGCAATATCTCATCAAATTTAAACATTTTTGCTCTAACCTTTCTGCCATGAAACGTAATTTTGTGTATAACTCCTTCAACATCGTAATAAGCATTCACGTTGTTCTAATAACGTGAAAATTTTAGTTTAACGTTGTTTTCAGCATGAAAATGTTGTTGAGAATACCCCGGAATACTACCGGAGCTACCAGATCTGGGTAGTTGATTCCGAGTGGTTGCGACTGAACTCAATGGATTGTGACTGACTGGATTTCAATATCAACCAAATAAAGTTCGATTTGATTTTCAAAATCGAGTCCAGTCCCAATTTTTAGCAAAATTTTGAGAAGCGTGTACAGTACCTTCTGAAAAATATACTTATATATACTTACTTATACAATATACTAGGTACCTGAACATGCACATTGAGATCTGAAATTGTCTCCCACATTTTTAATATATAATTTCATAATAATTCTATAAGTGAAATATTTTGCAATATATAATTTCAAAATAAGTTTCCTAATCCTCTACACGCATGTGCAGCGGATTATGAAGAATGGGAGTTAGAGGACAGATTATTGCTTTCATTAACGAAGGTTAGTCACAGCGACAAGTTGCTGCAAAGGAGTGTCGTAAGGTGCTGTGCAACTGTGGAAAGATTCAGAAAAACGCAATTCAATTCCAGCCGTAAACTTCAAACTTTCATCGGTGAAAAGTACTCTTTTCCAGTTTTCTACTCTGTTGTTTTTGTACATTTTGGCCCATACAATCTGTTGCGTCTATTTATAGGGTGCAGCAACGGTTTAGAAACTGCAGCTCTTCCTCTGAGTCCACTTGCAGCCAATCTCCTCGTACTGTTGTTTTTTCTCGGGTTGCATTAATTTACGATTGAATATTACCAGCAGTTGCTTTTCTATCGCGCAAAGAATTTAGTTTTATGCAGTGGCGCCATGTTTTTTTTGTTGTTTTTTTTTGGGGGGGGGGGGCAAGGGCAGTACTTTTCCGACAAACCGGAAAATGGTTTCCGACAGAAACGTCGCGAAAATTTTTTTTACTGATATTTTTTGGGCGAACCCCCCCCCGTCGCCAAAAAATTTCAGTCAGTGTACCATTTTAGGGGTCAAAAAATTTTTCCGGACATACTAAAATTTTTCGTTACATCTTAAAATTTTTCCGGACATCACTAATTTTCTCCATTTATCGAAAATTTTCCGAATATACCAACGTCGGAAACGTTGACAATTTTCCAAAAATTTCCGACAACATTGACAATTTTCCGACGGGTCTCCACAATAGGGGGGGCATGGCCCCCTGCCCCCCCGGCCACGGCGCCACTGGTTTTATGAACTGACCTTAATGCGGCGTAGTACTCCTTGGTCCCCCAGATTTTAGTAGGCTAGAATTGGATTGCGTTTTTCTGAACCATTCCACAGTTCGTTGCACAATAATCTATCCTCTAACTCCCATCCTTCATAATCTGCTGCACATGCGTGTAGAGGATTACGAAACTTATTTTGAAATTATACTGTATATTTCAAAATATTTCACCAAGAAAATGTGCGAGACAATTTCAGATCTCAATGTGCATGTTCAAGTAGCTAAAGCAAGTACATTTTTCAGAAGATACATTTTTCTCAAAATTTTGCAAAAAATTGGACTGGACTCATTCTTTTGGCACCTACTGTATGTCCAATCAGAATCTGAATCAACTATCCAGATCTGAGTAGTGCAGCTCGGAGGCGATCGACAAGCAATGACGCGAATTTTCACAGACTGTATTCCCCTAGCATAATACAGTATGTACACAGGCTAGATCAGTCCAAGAGTCATTTATTTATGCTGTATTAGTGAAGCACATTATAGATTGAATTGATAACTGTAGTTGAGTTGGTAATCTATTGTAGTATTGAGTTGATAATCTATTGTAGATTTTCTTTCGTTTGCATGTAACGTATATTTACGATAAATTTGTAGAACGCGCGGCATTTTCCGCAATTAGTAAGTGCGTTACAATATAGTTAGCTAACGTGTAACTTGTGTTTGACTGTAGCCTAAATTTACCTTCATGATCCATCACTGCAAAAATTCCTTAGAATGTAACTCAAAAACCTCCAGCTCCAAAAATTGAGTAACTTTTGGGGCGTCGATTCTTGATGCAAACTCATGATACTGATGTGAAAAGAGTACGAAAAGTTGTGGAGTTTTTGCGGGTGCTTTGGTTTCTTTTGACGGACTCCAAAAATATTCTAATTAAAATTCCAGATTAAACTTCCTGGCTATCCTAGCAATAACGCTATTTCGTTTAACCCGGGGTGGGGTATTCAACCCCCCCCCCCCCCCATGATACTAAAACGCATATGCCCTTTCGCGTGCTTGGTTTCGGAAATTGATACACAAGTACAATAATAATTGTAATAGTAATTCCAATTGGAATTTGGGCCAATTTCCATTTGGAATCAGTTTTTCTGTCCAACGGTCAATGGACTAATATAATAGGAAAATTTAAATTCCTATTGAGCCAATTTCCAACAGAATTTCCTATTGGAATTCCAATTGTTTTTTTAGGAATGGTTAAATTCGAAAAATTATAAAACGATCCAGTACATGTCTGCTATGCGATAACATAACATAACATAACATAGCATAGCATAGCATAGCATAGCATATAGCATATAGCATAGCATAGCATAGCATATAGCATATAGCATATAGCATATAGCATATAGCATATAGCATATAGCATATAGCATATAGCATATAGCATATAGCATATAGCATATAGCATAGCATATAGCATAACATAACGTAATTTTTATTCACTCGAAAATCTTACAAATATATAACACTACAATAAATATTTATACAAACAATATACGAGCTTAGCTGTATCCGAAATAACCATTTAGGGCTAATCTGGTCGGATAGCTATTACACAAAAAAATTTAATATATAATAATCCACGGTAGAGAGTATATACAGTATATAGGTTTTCGAACAATGACGACAAGACATTAAACACAATTATACGATATAATATATTACAAGACACACTTATGAGTCAGGCAAATGGTAGATTAAAATGTTGATACTTAATCACATATGGTACTTTAATTTTCGCTATCATATTGACTGATCATTTGACTTTTAAATTTCTTCTTAAATTTTTTTACGTTAAGAATTTTTAGAGACTCTTCAATATATAGACCTTTCCCCTTATGAGTGAAATTTTGATCTAGATATGGCTCGACAAAAATTTCATCACAGCTTGAATGAGCATCACAAAAATAGTAATATTCCAAAGTTTCGGCGCGAAATGTTGTAAAATGCGGATAATATAGCCTTGCGAAGTTTGCCGTTTTTCAGTCATTTTGCATTACAAACGGGAAATTGATAATCAGATGATCAAACTGATTAGAAGCTTAAGACCTACGACGTCAACATCAGCTAGGACGTCAGGGCTAAGCAGAGGACTGGGACTAGGATGTCGTCTTAAATAAGTAGATTCCTCAATATCAACGACGTCAAATATTTAGGGCGGCAAGCGGAAGTAAATTGGCAATAGTTTTTGAAGTGTGCATCATGAGTCTCTCTCAATTTGCTCGTCGTCCACCAAACGTCGACAACCTCACAACAAGAGTTTTACCGTCGTGGATACAAGAGCATAGCAAACGGTAATGAATTAATGTGTCTCTTTAAAATTCATTTTCAAAAGAATGTAGATATTTATAGTTTAAATGTCGACGTCGTGAATCTTAAGTGGAAGTTTATTTATTTACGACGTTCTAGTCCCAGTCCTTTGCTTAACCCTGACGTCCTAGCTGACGTCAACGTCGTAGATCTTAAGCTATCTAATATCAATTTCCCATTTGTAATACAAAATGACTGAAAAACGGCAAACTTCGCAAGGCTATATTATCCGCATTTTACAACATTTCGCAACGAAACTTTGGAATATTACTAATTTTGTGAAGATCTTTCAAGCTGTGATGAAATTTTTGTCCAGACTTGTCTAAATCAAAATTTCACTCAAAAGGGAAAAGGTCTATTGAATTCCAAATTTTTGGTCCGCTAAATCTAATGTTATGTAACTCCTCCAACGTCTCAACAAGCATTCAAATTGCTCCAATGGCGTGATAATCTTAGTTTAACGTTGTATTCAGAATGACAGCGTTGTTGAGGATACCCCTGAGCCCACAAGTTTATTCAAAATTTTTGTTTTGCATGAAGAATATCTCAGTTTGTTTCGAAGGACGCCAGTCTTGCGGTTCGCGTCGTGTTTTCGAAATCAATCTAAAGAACAACAGCGAACCAACGAAACTTTGCGCATGCATGGGCCACCGTAAACTAAATATTCCTAGCAATGTAATTTGAAAGATTACGTACACATGCATTTAATTAGCTAAGACACGAGCCACGAGGCGATTTCATCTCTGAATTTCTTTAAAGTGCCTATGAAACAAAATTTCATCCCAAAGGTTTATGGTTGCATTGTAAAGATGACTTAAAATGACTTAATAATTTCTTTTATAAAATATTGGTAACTTGTTCCCTTTTCAAGATATTCAACTTTGTTTCATATGCAAATATCGCCGGTGTGACATCACATCGCATAATGCGTTTTCAGAAAAGTATAGTTTTCTTGACGAATACGTATCTAAAAAACTTAAAAATTGCCCTTGTATATGTATTAATTTAATAACTGGTAATTAACCCGCTGTATTTGTTTGTAAAAATATTTTATCAAAGTAAAATATTGCTCTTGTTTCTAAAACTTTCACCTTTGTTGTTCATAACTTATTACTTATTTTTATTTCTCAAGGATTTATACAAAAGGTTAATTTAATTTAATTTGCAACGTTTCGGACATTTTAAATGTCCGTCTTCAGGCGACAATTGTTGTTCAACAACATTTGTCTTACTTACATTTAAAAATTTGTCCAACTTACATTTAAAAATATGGATTTAATGGATAGTATTTTGTCTGAATCAGACTCCGAAACTAATTCAGACAAAATACTATCCATTATCCCCCCCCCCCCGGGAGTGGGATGGGTAAAATCCAAATCTGGTAAAATTTTGGCCTATTTAGTAAAATTTTAGCAAAGGTTTAGTAAAATCCGCTGACAAACGTCTGGTCACACTGGCAAGACTTATGTGAAGCAAAATGGGTCTGAAACTAAAAACTAGACCTCTGGAGTGAATAAAGCATGATTATATAAGAACTTGAATTACCACTCGCACACAAACGAATAGAAATACCAGTTTTTGTTCTAACGTTAGTACAAAGACAAAGGCTTTGACCAAAGGAAAGATCAAAGGCAGAGACAAGTGAACGCGGCATATATTTATATTTTATAGTATTGCAGTAGGCTACTTCGTTGTATTGCGCTATTTTCTCTTGATACCATATCGGAACAGGTAATTTCCCTATTCACATATGTTATTGTTAGTTAACTGCATTTATAGTATATTTACTTGTGCAATATTGCTTTTAAAAACAGCGTGAAAGTGAAGAATTGTAAATATTTATAAGTTTATCTGGCTTGCATGGCTTTGATAAACGCCTTTATTGACGCCTGCCGTTGAGGGGTAGCACTGTTGTATTTTGTTCACATCTTTTGAGTTACAGGGAGCGTTCCTTTAGTGCAATCCGGATTTGTGTTTTCAAATCCGATTATCGATTTTCAGTTTCATTTAACAAAATCTTAAAGTAGATTCGAATCTGATGAACCACCTCAAATTATGGATTTTTCGGATTCAATCTGAAACTTGATTAGGAATCAACGTTCCTTTTGATCTTCTGGCCTTCTAGCATATACCTTGTCTCGACCGAAAGTATAGTGGGACAGAAAACGAATTATTGTCAAAATGGTGGAAAAAAGAGCAGGCGAAAGGTATGTGAATTCTTCCACATTTTTTGAATATTTAAGTATGTAAATTTCTTTCTTCTTTGTGCAATGGCTTATACTATATCTTTATGAACAACTTGTCTATCATATTTTATTAGAAACACCATCAAAAGAAGTCGGTGAAACATTTGAAGCTCTGCATGTATGAACCCGAAATGCAAGATTCCGTTCCTTGCATATGGGGAAGGATTCCATGATCTTAGTGGTAAAAGCAAGTGCATTTCATTCGTCCGAAAACAAGTTCTGCTGTTTCAGTTGCGAAATGGAATGTTCAAAATGGAATGTTCTACTTGATCTATTTTATAGAGTATTTATTAATAATCTCCATGATACATGTCAAGCAGTTTTTATATAGGAACTGGTTCAATTTTGTGCACATGTCACACCTGCACAACTGTCCAATCTGCATTTGAGTCCGAACCCCCATACTGGCCATGAACCACCACTTTGTTATAAAAGAGAAAATTCCATTTATTGTAAACTCAGTATGAAAGATGCCAACATGTGCTTTCTATTAAAGGGCACCTTTGCCATACATGTCCTAATATTTTTACTCGCACATTTTTATTTTCTGACACAACTTGTTTACTCATGTAGTCATCATCCGAAACCAATAGCGCATAGGTGGGAAATGATGAGGGTGTAGAATATTCAATGTGCTCCCAGGGGCCTTAGGCAATTTTTCAAACCTCACATATGACAAATTTAATACCTTTATTAACCATATCTTTTAATCAGGATATCTTTAATCAATATCTTGTTGTAGGTGGGTCATTATAATTTGCTATGACTACCCCTATGCCCTATGGGGGGCGGGCATTTTCTGGAATTAGTATGTACAAAAGTCTAATCCCCCTATTTCCATTGGGTAGCGTTTCCGATGACAAGTGCATAATTTAAAAATGGCTGCACCACAATAAATGTTGCTCAGCTAAGCACTCTTAAAACAGTTTCACTGCCTGAGTCAAGCCAAGCAGCTACATCATCTGATCAGACAGGAATACAAGATATACCAGCAGTACAGAAATAGAAAAAAAAACATTTCTGCATTCTTAGCACTACCTCGGAAGAGACGAAAATGTGAACGGAACCCGGTATCTGAGTACGTTGGTACAATTAACTCCGCATAGTCCATGATCCCAGACAGTTTTTCAACGAAAGCTAAATTATTTCATCATTATATAACAATTGGCTTTCAACGAATTCGTCTAAAAACTCATCCAATGCTGCGAAAACTAATAAAGGAAATCTTCGGAAACCATGTCGGACAACAGCCATTTTAAATAATTTAAAAAGAGAAGGGCTGAGCCGCCGAATGTACACACTCAGTGGGTGGACTATAGAAACATCCGATTCTCACAATTCCGTTCCATTTGTTTAACGAATCCAAAAATCCGAATCCTAAAATCCAAATTGACCATTTTATACCACCAAGCATTTATCCAAAACTCAAATGCTAAAAATAAAGGCGAGTTTGGGTCAAAATGTTTAGATTCTTGTTTATTTCAGGTAAAAATCCCGTCTTAACCTTAACAAAGAAGTTTACTAAAATTTACTTGTTTTGCAGTTTCTGAACGCGTTCGAAAATAATGCTGACGTCAGCACGTTTAAAACGCTGTAACTCAGGAGCAATTAATCCTATTGAATTGTTCAAAAATTTTGGTGAACACTCGTAATAATAATATAAAAAACATATAAAGCGTCCTGTATTGTAACTGAAATTCCTGGAAATTGGACGGAAACCTGCATAAGGCCCATTAGCTAACGTTAAAGTGTAAATTCATAAATTCAATAAAAATATAATAGTTTACAAATATAATAGGTACAATTTGAGCTTTGTTTTGTTTACTTTTTGTAACAATCATGTATTATATAATTTTGTATTCATTTTATAGCGGGCACTACTGCTATTTTTCTTTTTGGCTATTCCAAAATACAGCGGTGTAGTCGTAAGGGGGCAAGGGGCATAGAGATTATAAATAACACTAGAGGAGGCATTGTAATCTTAATTCAGTAAAAAAAAGGGAACGCGACTATTGGGGGGCAAATTTAAGTCCCGGATGTGTATTCGTGTTCCCATTGGTGACGAGTTTCAAATCAGCCAATGAAAGCACGATTTTATATCCGGGACTTGAATTTGCCCCCCATTAGCTGCGTTCCCAATTTTTAAACTCGATGCCTCCTCTAGTGTTATTTATAATCTCTATGGCAAGGGGCTCTTCGAAGAATCTTTGAGGACATGAACTGCCATGCCAGAAAAATCTCGATCCTTGAGTCTCTGTAAAACGATTTCCTGAATTTTAAAGTGCATCTAACCTCAATTCTTTTTATCATTTCATTCTTAAGAACTTCTGAAATGATTTAATACCTTATTTTAAAGATTTTCGTTTGCACACTTTGTCTCCGAGTTATTTCAGTTTTATTGATATGCAAATGTCCGGAATTACGTCACATATGAATAATGACTGATCAAAGAATGCAAGGTACAGTTAAATATCATGAAATAAAAAGGCTAAATGGTGTTTTACACAGGTATATGTAATCTTCGCACAACTCCGAACTGCCTTTTAGTGAATTAAACTCGATAGTGAATACGATATACAAGATTTTACTTTAAATCATTATGCATTTGTGACGTAAATTCTGGATATTTGCATACTAAACAAACTGAGATATCCTAGAAACAAAGTGAGCAAACGAAAATCTTCAAGATAAGTTATTATATCATCTCAGAAGTTCTTATGAATGAAATGATAAAAATAATTGAGGTTAGGTGCACTTTAAGTAATGTTATCTAGAATATGTAATCACTACAGGACTCATTAGTCGAAATGCCATTCTGGGAAATTAGTATTACTGGTCTGTCCTTCAAAAAATTGAATAGGAAAAATTGGAATAACAGCACAGTGTATAATAATAACAAATCTTAATAAATTTGCAAGAACTTGTTATAGCTATTATCCAAGTTACTTCTGTCTTGAAAACAATTAAGCGGGCAAGGGGCAGGGAGGAGGCTCAGCCATATCACTAAACGTATGTCACATGTTTAGACAGTTCAGCTGGTTTTTTAACAAGATTACTACGGACAACAATAAATTACATAATGAAAATGCTAAAATACAGTTTGTTCCTTGTTGTATTTGTTATTAATTAACACACTATTAGATTAATAATATTAACCATGATGTCATGAAAGCAAGTGTTGGTCGACCACCTTGTGCATTAGGTTCGTACTTCATCATTCCAGATACATTGTAAATCTGAATGTGCTGACTTCCAAGTTTTAAAGTGCAAGTCGGGCCCGAATTGTCCAATGCTGTTCCCAATGGTAAAATGGCTCAACATGCACCTATATTGTGTTAGGTAAGGTCTGATCAATCAAGCAATAAAATTCAATGCTGAAGGGTTCTTGTGTAAATTTCGGGCAAAAGGGTATTTTTATTTTTGACGTAGCCATGCAGAAGCAGACTAATACTGTCCCTCCAACAGGAATCGACCCTGCGATTTCAGTGCTGTATCACCTCTGAACTCATTTTGGAGTGTTTAATTTGTAGTTAAAAATTCAAACAGAAATTATATACCATGCAAAATCGCAGAGCTGCACATTCGATTCCTGCCAGGCGGTTCTATAGTTAAATTTTTTACAACTGCTCCAGTTAATGTCTAAAATATGTGAACAATTGTAAGGGTAAAATTTTACGGTCATTTGGCGACCATCTTTCACTGTGGTAGCTCCGAAACTTTGCAATGAACTTCCGAAAGAAATTCGTGACATTTCGGCAATAAGTGTTTTTAAAACTTGCCTTAAGACTCATCTTTTTTAAACTAGCTTTTAATATTTAGTTTATATTAAAGTTAACATTTCAAAATTTTATTACACTTTTTAAGTGATGCTTACCAGTTACCATATTGAACATTAGTTATATTGTAATACAGCGCTTTTGATCATTACATGTAAAAAGCGCTTTATAAATTATTAAATTATTATTATTAATAATTCAAGCACGTTAAGTGAAAGAACAGCCCGAAAATAAGTAAAACGCACACCAAATCATTGTGGGAGAATGGGTTCAGGGTGAAGTGAACCAATTATTATAAGTAATAGCATGGCTTGAGGGAGATTAGTGATTAAATGGCCCCGTAACCCGAGGCAGGTTTGCGGAATTCCCGAGGGCGAAGCCCGAGGGAATTCCGCAAACCTGCCGAGGGTAAGGGGTCATTTAATCACTAATCTCCCGAAAAGCCATGCTATTAGTTTGTAATAGCATAGTTTTGCTCCCATTTAAAAATGGACAAACATGCCCTACTTGGAATCAGCGTATTTAAGCTAAAACATTTGCTTCATTGCTTGTGGGATGTAAAAGCTTGTTGCACATGCGCACTTTTTACGCTTTA